TGGAAAACGTAGGAAGTGTGAGTGTACAGGAATTATTTAGTCAAGCAAAGGTGACAGAAGTCCAAGTACATGACTGGTCCCTGCAGCTATCTTTATCAGGTAGCTGCATAAGGGAACAGTCTGTTTACAGGGTCCACGCTGGACAGCGTGAGAGGTAATGGACTTCAATTACGGCAAGGGAAGTTAACCGCTAAAATATTTTCTTTAGGGTTAGTGAAAAACTGGAATAAATTGTCTGTCATGTTTTTGGAATCTTTAAAGGTATTTAACAAGCCAGGAAAAAATGTCTACCCCCTCTAAATATTTAATTTAAGATTCTTACACTCATTTTCATTTCTCTGCGTCATTTCTTAGCTAAAGTATATCCTATTATAATTATAAAAAGGAAGATGAGCCTTATTTTGTGTGTCATCACATCGTGTCTAAATTGGGGAGTAAAGCTTAAAGGCTTGGAATTTTTCTCTAATGAGCTAAACCAAAATATTATGTACCACAGTACGCACACTGTATTTGCTCATCCTCTTCCTCAACTCAGTGCCTACACTTAAAGGGTAGGAAAAGGATCTGGAGGGACTAGGAGACAGCGTACTGAGTATGCCCAGTGCTTTTTTTTTTTTTTTTTTTCCTTAAAGCAGACTGGTTCACATGTCCAATTGCATGCATGTGGAGTCAGAGTGGAAAACTGGGTAGTACACTGAAGCATCACTACCAATGTTTGTATCTTTTGCAGATATAGAATCCTAAATCACAGAAGAAAATCAGAAAACTCTAGAACCTGAAACTGCAATGACGCTTGTAATATATTTGAATTTTATATTGTAATTTTATAAGCGCTGGTACAAGAGGTATCTTGTAACATATAAACTGTCTTATTACTTCCTGCTGTAGCTGAGATATCAATCTGTATAGCTTCAAAATGAACTAATATCTTGTTTTGTAGTCAGATCTTTCATGGACTGCTATGTAACTAGCAATTAGTGTTTGGAAAGTCACTCTTACTCTTTCATAAAGGTGAGCCCTCAAAGTAGTACGGGATGCTTTCCCAGAAACACCGTTGGGATTACACTGTTTCTAGCAAGACTCTCTGAAGACCTTCCGTCATCTAACAAATCATGCTAGACCTTTTAGTACTTCTGACGCTTATGTAAAAATGAGGATTTTGAATGGAACTTCTTGGCTCTTTCCTGTTCTCTGTGTTTTCTGGCCTTAAGGTTATGTTAACCAGCTGGCTTAAGAATAACTATTTGGATCTAAAGCACTGGGTCAAACTACACATGGCTTAAAGCTTGTTTCTCTACATTTCCATTTTCTGGAAACGGACAGATTATTCCTTTCCTTTTACAGGGTTACTTCCAGTTAAAAGCCAATCCTGGTGCATGGACGCTCCGACTCCGAAAGGGCAGGTCTGAGGATATCTACAGAATCTACAGGTAGGACAGTACATGGAAGACTTTGGTTTTGTTCTTGCGAAGCTTTCAAACTAGATGGGTGCAGCATTCTAACAGATGAATCTAACTGTTCACTTGCTGAACGCTAGTCACCTGAATAGCAGTTTGCATTTCTTACTGTGTTGTGTGAGATGAAATAAATTAATTCCTTTATCAAAACAAGCAGATGTGTTCAAGTATATACATTTGTTAACTTTGTTGTTGTTCCATATCTGAAGACATGCTTTACAATGTTGAGGTTTAATAGCACGTAGAAAAGCATTTTAAGAAGAAATAAAGAATGCTTTACTGTATTTTCAGCCATGATGGGACAGACTCTCCCCCTGAAGCTAATGAAGTTATTGTTGTTCTCAGCAACTTCAAGAGCAAAATTATTAAAGTGAAGGTGAGTTTAAAAACTAGAGCTACTCTTAAAGAAGACTGACTGACTAGTAGCGGGCAGAAACTTTCATTAAGGCCTGATGATCCCTTCTTACAAGCTTAGATTAAAGACAGGTTGCACATAAATTTTCACAGGAGATGTAATCAAAAGAATTATCTGTAAAGTTGTTTTTATTTTTTTTTGGGGGGGGTTTTTTTCAGATGCAGCTACTGTTCCTTTTGTATGTGCATGAGAAAAACTATGCCCGAATTTTTCTGGCTCAGTTGTGCTCTGACTGCTTAGAACAAAAAACAAACAAACAAACAAACAAACAAACCCTTCAGTCAGTCTGTATGTATGTCCCACATTTAAGTCTAATAAAAAACATTCAATGAACCCAATGCTAGAAAATATATTACCAGATGAGCAAAAATGTATTTGTCACAGATAAAATTCTGGCTCAGTGTGATACAGAGTAGGTAAAAATGCATGCGAAAAGCAAATTGTTTCATTATTAATCTAGTCTTTTTAGGGCTGCTTATTCGATGACAGTATAGGTGAAAATTTTTAATTAGGATGATTGACAAGTGATAACATAAGATAACATCCGATTCTCACTTCTTCCCAGGATTTACTTGTGCTAGAGTAATTCTGGGACAGGTTCCTGATTTACCTCCAGTGCTCTTTGGCTAGTGCTGCTGTGCTGTCTGCTTATCTGCTGTGGAGTCTCAGTGACCAGCAATGCCTCTTCGAAACAGAAAGTGGGATGGGGGGGGAAGAGGGAGGTTGGGGTGGTGAGTTGTTTGTGTACGGTTTTGTTGGGTTTTTTTGCTGGTCTCTATCGTCAAGAATGGTCACTAAATCTATCTTAGCAAAGTGTTTTAGCCATCTAGAATAATAAGTTTTGGTGCCTGAAAACAGCTTTGGAATCTGTTTTGAAAATGTTAGTTGCCTAATGAACCGTTGAACTGTTTGTCCATACAGCTCAGGGTCCATGTGAGGTAACCGGACCTAATTCAAACTGGTACAAACAGAGCCAATGTAAAAATCAATGCTCCATAGCTGTTTGCCTAGTTTGTGGTTCCACTGGCTGAAGTAGTGTTATGCATTTCCAGGTTCAGAAAAAACTGGACATGATGAATGAAGATTTACTAAGTGATGGTACCAGTGAGAATGAGTCTGGATTTTGGGAATCTCTCAAATGGTAAAACTAGTTCAATAATAACCTGCAGTCTCTTGAAACTGGAGAACTGTTTTATCTTTTGATAATAGTTAAGTCTGTGATATTGCACAGCATTCTTAAGCCTGTGGAAGCTGAGGGTTTGATTTTGCAAAACTGTTGATCAGTAACTCCTTATTGCCTGTAGGAGGACCCCTTGATTTCTAGAGAACCAAGTGCCTGTTTTGCAGCTGCTTGCCTACCCTTACCTCCCGTGTTACTCAGAAGCTGCATCTCAACTTCTTTCAGTTGAACAGGCGTTCGCATTTCAGCCTCTGGGTCCTCCGTGCTTGTGTCTGCAGCTCCCTGCCTTGTGGAGGATGCCCTCACCTGGCGGGGCGGGGGGGACCCCAAATCCCACAGTTGTCCTATATTAAACCAACATTATAGCGATTTGTAATCATCTGTTGCAGTTTCCTGCATGGCTGGGTCTTACTGTCTTGTCACATATATGAACACATTTGTCCTTTCAGGGGATTCACAGGGGGACAAAAGAATGAAGATGTGAAACAGGATAAAGATGATGTACTAAATATATTCTCTGTGGCTTCAGGACACCTATATGAAAGATTCCTACGGTTAGTTCAGAATTGATAATCTGGGGGGAAGGGGGTTCTCAAATGATAGATCCACCAGGAGAAAAGTTAAAATTTGCAAGAATATAAAGAAGCCGTTTCCCAACAGCTCAGAAGTTCTTTAGTTGTTTGCATCTACTGCAGCATAGGAACTGTTGTCTGTGTAGTATTCATTTGTTCAAAGTAGACTTTGTTTAATAGGTAGTATGTTGCTGTCCTAGAATTTTCTCATTACAAAATACCCCCAAACAATTATGCTTTTAGCCCCCAAACAATTACGCTTTTAGAAGTTTAGGTTCCTTTCCAAAACGAACATGAATTATTCTGTAACTTGTTATTCTCAGTGAACTGTGAAAACCAACAGCTTGCATATTCTCTCACTGGTTAAAGTACTTGGGTTCTTTTTATTTTTAGTAACTTTGTAGTTAGAATTAAGCAATTTGCAATAGGTTGCAGTTGCACACTTTTTCTCCAGGCATGAAGATCAGTAAACTGATGCATACTGCATGCAGTTAAGTCTAATAACGTAAAACGGCAATTTGTAATCTGTTTTGCAGCTCATCTTCTCTAGCGGGTGGTAGCTGTTTCTCTTAAGCGCTTTATTTTTTTTCTCTTTTGATAGCATCATGATGTTGTCTGTGCTGAAACATACTAAGACTCCTTTGAAGTTTTGGTTTCTGAAGAATTACTTATCACCTACATTCAAGGTTTGTTACTAATTAGAAAAGTATTCCATCATGGGAAAACTAAATACGGAGAAAGTTTCAACTTGTACATCATACTATTGTATAAACATACGTACAGTTACCTGTCTGTATACCTTCTATTTTGACAAAGCATCAAGTTGTTATAAGAAAGATGGTGGTTTTGCTTGGGAGGCTTTTAGAAATAACGATCAGGTTGACAGCAAACTCATGCTGAAGGTACATATTTGAGAGAACAGTCCATAGTAGGAAAATCATACTTGAAAGAATTTGAACTTTTTTTTTCCCCCTTGTGGCTCACGTGATGAAGATGTGGATTCTAAGAAGAAATTCAGGACTATAAACTTGCATTTAATATGTAAGGTTTGAAAGAGTATAGCAGGAAAGACTACCAGAGAAGCAGTGTCTGTGACTAAATGCGGGAAGAGTTTCATAGGAAGAGACAAAAAACCCCCAAGGACGTAGTCTTCAGACTGCCTACGGTACATCTCAGTGGTGCATGGTAAAAGAGTGACACAGGGCTTAAATGAACATACCTGGAAATATTTAACAATTACCTGTGAATATCTTATGAAATGAGCAGCAAACAGCAGGATTCAAAACAGAAACCAGAGGTAAACGAATGCCAAAGCTGCATATTTCAGAAATCTACAGCTTTTAACGCCTACTTTTAGGAAGTAGCATTTCCCGGAGAATCTTACTTCTTTAGCAAGAACAAGGGAAAGTAACTGGTGGTGTCCCTACTGCTCCAAACATGGACTATGCTGCAACTCTGATTTTCTGGGTCACCTCTGGGGACACTACAGCAGCATGCTACCTTGCTGACAGTCATTTCTACCAGCATCCCTCGGCTGATTATTCTCTTAGTGTCACAGAAAGCCTTACAGACGGGAATTTCAGTTAATAGAAGACAGCAGGCCAAGCTGTTCTAGTAAAAAATTCTCCCAATTATTTTCTCTCATTTTATTATTCTTACACTTACTTATAGTGCTTTGTACATCCCTAACTATGAATTCTCTCATCTGTAAGTTTTACATGATTTGAGTAATGCATTCTTTTAAACTGATGTGTGCATCACTATACAATGGCTTGTGTGGGGAAAGGATGCCAAAAAATTTAGATGTCTTATGACAGTTGACTTTACAATTTATAACTTACTTACTGTACAGTTTGCGGCTGTTTTACTCTGTTTGAAGTAACAACATTAATATAGTTATTCTTTATGGCATTTCATTTTCTAGTGCTCTGTGCCTTACTATGGGACTGAAGTCTATCTCTTGTAATGCACTTTTTTTTTCCTGCAGCGGAACAAAGAACTGAGATAAGCTACTTTTTTCCCCCCCCCACTCTGCAGGAGTTCATCCCTTACATGGCAGAGAAGTACAATTTCCAGTACGAGCTTGTCCAGTATAAATGGCCACGATGGCTTCATCAGCAAACGGAGAAACAGCGTATCATCTGGGGTTACAAGATCCTCTTTCTAGATGTGCTCTTCCCATTAGCTGTTGATAAAATCCTATTTGTGGATGCTGATCAGGTAACGGAGAAGATGGAATTACTTTATCATTTAAGAATGATATGTTCTTGAATACAATTTCTATATTATTACAAAGATGGCAAGTTTGAGCACTTTTCAGGCATGACGGAAAGTTGAATCTGTAACTATAGCATGCTTTAGTGAATGCTGTTTGTTTTTTTTGTTTTTTTTTTCCTGCCTGTTCACAAAGCTTGGTTTTGCTGGCCCACCTCTTACTCTTTTCTGGTTCCTCGTTCACTCTCTGTTGTGATTCCAGCTGAACAGATTCTTGTTTCACCTTCCCACTTCCCCGGTTCTAGTTCTATCTTTTCTCCCCTCCCCTCCCCTCATATGTGAAGCCATGCCCTGTGGCAAAGCAGACAATGTCTGTAAGGCTTTATACATGCTTACTGCCTGTACAGTCTGAAAAAAGAGGGATGGGTGTAGCGCAGGAACTGCCAAAAGTATTCCTCCTACAACATGTATGAAAATGAAAAATATGGATTATCAACATGTAAGTATAAAATGCCTTAGGTGTTCTGGCATGTGTACAGTATGATCCCATGTCAGTTAGAGCCACTACAGCCTGTGCTTAAGTATCATCTATGATAAATTTCTAGCTATGCTGCTCTTACTATAGACAGTCTATGCACAGCATTTATATATTAACAAAAAATGCAGTTTGTTTCCTCCAGATTATTATTTTTAGAGTAGTGCTACTGCAGTAGCGTCTGTGTGACTGAAAGACATTAAAAAGCCTTCATAGCTGAAGGGTTTGCAAACTTTCAGTAGAGCTCATCTATTGTGAGAATTCTTTCTTGCTGCTTGTTAAGCAACTGCTTGGCACTTCAGCTGTCAAACAAACCTCTACCAGATTATTTTGACTTCCACTGTAGTAGCTCTAAAGGGGAGCGGACAAAAAACTTTTGCGCCATGTTTTTTGGTAGTACATATGCGTAATGCAAAATATTGCAGAGTAATAGATAATCCTGTTCTTCCTTTAACTGTTCACTCTGTTTGAATTATAAATCATAACAATCATTTCAAAATAACTTTTGGCAGGCTTCTACAAATAAAAATAACTTCCTTTCCCTTCAGATTGTGCGCACAGATCTAAAGGAATTAAGAGATTTCAATCTAGAGGGTGCTCCTTATGGATATACTCCATTCTGTGACAGCCGAAGAGAAATGGATGGCTACAGATTCTGGAAATCGGGATACTGGGCAAGTCACTTAGCTGGAAGAAAATATCACATCAGGTACTGAAGAATACAGGTTTCTTTCAAAATGGAGCAGAAAAGCCTTTGGTTCCACTTAAAATTGGCAGAAAAATAGCTGGCGTACACAGTGATGCAGTAAACCCTGTTGCTTCTTTCAGGGTTCCATTGCCTATGTCCATCTGAACCCACTAGCGACCCTGAAATTACTTTCATGTGCTACAACTCTTACAGATGTAAGAGTGAGTGAAGTGTTAACTAACCAGACATCTTCATTTGTTAATAACAACTAGCAGCACAGATGATTGCATGACAGCAAACCCAAGACAGATTTGTTGCATAAAATTTTATATGTGTATGTGCTATGACCTTTCTAGAACTGCTTTCCTGCCTCGTATTACATGATTTGAGCTATTTCCACCAAAAGACTGTTTTACCATGTTCGATCTCAAGGTTCATTGGGGCTGCAGTAAGTTACCCATCAGTCAAATGTCATTACTAATTGTATCATCTCCATATAGTGCTCTGTATGTTGTGGATCTGAAGAAGTTCAGAAAGATAGCAGCTGGAGACCGACTCAGAGGACAATATCAGGGTCTTAGTCAGGATCCTAACAGTCTGTCTAACCTTGATCAGGTGTGTTTTTTATCCTTTGCTTACTGGGGTAAGATGGCAGCTTGGGCCCTCTCCTTTCCTGGCTAAACTTCTATCACAGCCAGATGCCAGTGACAGTCCCATCACTCCCTGCCTTTTAAGGGAGGCAGATGTGGATACCACCAAATATAACTGGTGGCCGGAAACAATATATGCCTCTTAAGTGTCTTCAGCCTATCAATTTGTGCAGTATATTCCAACACAAATACATAATATAACTAGACATGTGTCTCTCTTGTTACAAAACTTCATTACTATGGGGAGAGGGGCAGGAGGGGTGACAGATAAGTTTTTCCCACCCTGACTGCAGAAACTGCTACTGAATCTTATTCTTCACTACAGGATTTGCCTAACAACATGATCCACCAGGTGCCCATTAAATCACTCCCACAGGAGTGGCTTTGGTGTGAAACATGGTGTGATGATTCCTCAAAGAAGAGAGCAAAAACCATTGATCTGGTAAGTGCACTATGGCTCACTCATTCTTACGTTGCAATAAAATACAGTGACCTATCTTAAAGGCCCTTCCCTACCTCAGATCTAGGTGCCTCATATTATATTGTTACGTAAATGTTTCCAGTACTTAATTTTTTTTTTCCTCCTTTCCCTGCTATGTTTTTCTGTGCAAGTTTTCTGGAGCAGTTGCATTATTATGAGTTTGCAAAGAGACTTTGCACTGTGCTGTAGCTAAAATACAGGCATATAAATAAATATATTTTTCACCAACAACAGATTAATTCCACCAGGGGGAAGCATCTCTCTCTTCAGTAAAGAAACTTTTTAAAAAAATGTTTTGCAGTGTCTGAACCGTTCATGTGTTGTTTGCAGTGTAATAACCCAATGACCAAAGAGCCCAAGCTGCAGGCAGCAATGCGTATAGTTCCAGAATGGCAGGACTATGATCAAGAAATCAAACAGCTCCATAGTCGCTTCCAGAAAGAAAGAGAAACAGGAATACCAGCTAAGGCGACAGGACAGCACACACAAGGTAATCTTTCTAATCACTGTCCTACTTTTGTGACCTTCTTCCAAACAGCTGAGAAGAAAATGAAGCCTCATGCTTGCTTACTGTTTGCATAGTGCAAGCTAAGGCATGTATGGAGAATCGGTTAAATAATCTGCATGTTTTAATGGAACAGAAGTGCCTTGCTCAGTGAGGCAGGCATTGAGGAACTGCATGCTGAAACTTTAGAATAGAGAGTTAATATTGCACAGACCTCTCAGTTTTGTTAAGACCCATGTTGTTCTTGCAGCTTTATGAACTTGGCCTTCTATCTTAATTCTGTTGTTTAGAAGTGCAGCTATACACAACAGGTACAAACTGTTCTTCAGTCACTGGTGACCTCTGAAAGAACAAATTGTGTGGGTTTATATCTTAAGCTTCAAACCAATCTGCCAATTGAGGCAGCTAGAAATGGAGTGCCCCTCACTATTTTTTCTGTTCTTCTACAGATCCAGCAGCACATGTGGAATTATGATCCATGGAGGAAAAAAAAGTCAAGTTAGACTGTTTCATAGACAATTTTTATATTGAAAGCTAGTTTTTTTTCCAGTATGTCTACAAAACTGCTGAATAATTGAATGGGATGATGTATGCGTTCTTATTACTTGCCTTTGGGTTAATTTCTGCCTATGAAATAGGATCTGGATTGCTGGAATTAGCATTACTGTTTTTTGCACCTGTGGTGGAGATGAAAGAGCCCATGGTGGAATTTAGCATTTCAGAAACAAAACTTAAATCCACTGGAAAAGCTGCAGCCTGTTCCTTCAGCTGTCGCTGCCTCCACCCTGACCAAGATTCTATTAGCCTCAGACTATCTGACTTGAGAGAGCCTGGAAAACGCAGACCCACTGAACAGTTGGCTAGAACGTAAGTCCTTACCTCAATCGATGGAGATAGATAGTTTTCCAGGTAACATTAAGGCTCAGATTCATGCCTTAAATTGGGATAATGTTTCATGTACAAGTGTTCAAATGGTCAAAAAATGCTTCTCAGATTTGTTCAGTAGGCCCTTTTTTGTAACCAGTCTAGCATTACTTAGATTCTCCAATTCCAGTCTTTGTTTATTTCCTAACTTTTGAAGGTTTGGCTTAATTTAGAACTACCACAACCTGTTGAAATGCCCATCTGAACACAAACGCCTATGCTTACAACATGAGCAGAATGTTGAATTTGACAGTTCAGTTTATCCTAGCCCACTGACTTGAAACAAGACTGCCCTCCCTCCTTCTTGCTCAAAGTTGAAATCAATCTGCAAAAGTGGTAGGGCCTTACTCTTGCTGTGGTTCACTGATTCATGAATGTGTTTTGTCTATAAAAATCTGTGGAAGCTTGGAAGCATTTCATCATGTAAATTTCATTAACTTTATTTTTCCTCAGAGATGTTGTCACATCAATAAAACACTTTGGAGTTCTTAGGTCTTAAACTCTAGTTCACACTCAGTCCTTTGCTCTTCCTTTTTGCTTGCACACACACTGCAGTCCTAATGGGATTCTGGGGTCTCTGAACACTTTACCTGCACTTGTTTTTTTACTTAAGGCACAGGCAGGAAAAAAAAAAAAAACACAACAACTTTGCTCCAAGGATTAATTACCTTGGGCTACATCAATAATCCTCACTCATGTCTTAATTTTTAAAGAAGAAACTGCAATAGTTCCATTCTATGAACACAATGATTTTAAAAAAAAAAAAAATCCCTTAAGATCCTGTTCCCTCCCCTTTCCCCTCACTCTGCATGATTACTGCCTACTCTCTAGAGCACTGAGAAGAGGTAAAAATACATAAACTACAGTAGTATTCCTACATTAAAGAAAAGTAATTCCTCTCTTTAGCAATCCAGACTGGAAGCTAGTTTATTGCAACTCCTTGTGTTTATAATAAGACAGGTAAAGGTCCTGTGCAGTGAGGGCTTCCCACTAAAGATAAGCATGAGTTAAGATGTTCTAGACTTGTTATGTACGTTTGGCAGATAAATGTTTTGCAGAGATCTCACAGCGACTGTAGTATATAAACTGGTCATAGAGCAATGCCAGTGCTAAGCAGCTCCTCTTCAACCAGCTCAAAAGAACACCCAAACCTCCTAAACTGAATTCTTAATGAGCATGTTACTAGAACTAGCCAGGGTCCCTTAAATACCCCTTCCTGACTTTGTCAACAGTGCCAGTAAACTAATCAGTAACTCTGCCCACGCTTTTAATAGATATCAGAAGCGAGTGGCTCTAGAAAGGTAGAGGAAAGGGCCGTTCATAATCTCCCCTTCTCCAGAGAGCAAAGCTATGCAAACACGAGGGGCTGGATTTCCAGCCACAAACTTCTTATATGTATTATCAATCAATCAGCTTCGGTATTTTCTACTCTGTAGCTACTTAAATTCAACTAGTCTCCCTGGTACTCTATAACTAACAAGTGGCTGATGCTTCCTGTCAAAACAGTGCCAGTTAAGGCTAGGCAGACTAGAAGGAACACTAGAAGGAATTTTTCCAGTGTAAGAACCAATAACGTAGCTGCCAAATTAAACTGTCATTACATACCATGTTAATTAGCCCTTTTTAAACAGCTGTAAACAATACATGTAAGACTACCTTTTTCCTCTGTTCTGCTCTCAACCACTTCAGCCGCTATGGAACATGCGGAACAGCACATGATCAGCTGGGCAGCAGCTGTACCCAACAGCTTCATCCAGAGATGGCCCAGGGCAGCACAGCAGGACCACTTCGGCCAGTGCTTAGGTAGGGAAAAGTCTGCCCAAACCTTCAGAACAAGAATAGTGCAAATTTTCTTCAAAACAAGACCCTCTCCTACCTAAAGTTGTATTCGGCTTCAGCTCTTGTTTTAAAAACTACTATTAGGAGCCAGAACATCCAGAATAAACTGGCCTGTGAAATTCAGCAAAACATTTACAATGCCTTGTTCGACACTGTATAGAAAAAGAATATTTTTTAAATTAAATGTTTCAATTACTTTTTTTTTAATTATGCACTTCTCACTTCATTTTTAGTTAAGTATGCACTTCACCCATACCACTTTTTTTTAAATTTTAAAATTCAGCAAGCTATTTCTACTGTCTTTTGTTCTCGCTGGCTAACAGAGACCATGCTCTTGTTCACTTCTTACAATCCAACTCCTAACTGATACAGAAACAAACCAGAAGTGTATGCATCATGAGATTTTTTTTTGTACCTCACGCTCCTTTTGCGATACCCTGTATGAGTCCTGTATGTATTCTCAAGTACATTATAAAATGCATGTGGTACTAATCATTCAGAGTATGAAATACCAGAGTTTTTCTAGGAGCCACTTCTTATTCGTGCACAAGAAGAACAATCATATGGCAACCAGCCTAAAGAGGAGATTATGCACTTATTTTGGATCTGTGGGTACCCTTGCCTGTGGTCCTCAACTAGGCCTTGAAAGAAAAATCTTCAGAGAGCTGCATCTAGAAAGCATCTTGGAGTTAAGACTACTACTGAAATAGAGCCACTTCTGATCATACTGCTGGTGGCCTGTGTTCCTGTAAGCCAGTAAGACAGACTGATATGAAAGATAGAAAATTGGGATTAAAGAGGGCGTAACACAATTTTGGATCCCCTAGTTGGTCTAGAAAGGCCATACCTTTGGCAAAGCGATGGCACTGGTCCAGATACTTGGATACAATAAGCTTGTTGAAGTTCTGTTGGTCAGAAGTTCACATTGAAAGAAAAAAAAAAGTACTTTATTTTAAAAGGAAGGTTTTACTGCCTTACTTTCTAAAAAACAGAAGTATGAAGTATGTATGTTCTTAGAATTATTCTTTCATTTAGCTATTGGGGGGGATTTGTTGTAAAGCAAGGAAATGAAAGCGGTGGGACATGTACAAAGGAGCAAGAATTCAGTTACAATCTTAGGAACCAAAACCTTTTTATAAACTGTTTTGCATGGCCACTTCTTCTGTAATCTGTTCAGAAATACAACATACCCAAGTGTGGTACTGATAGGTAGGGGGAGCTACTTTCTACCAAATGTTACCTGAAATGAGATTACAGTGAATTTCCCAGTACAGTGACAACAACAGGATCTGTCCAACACAATAAAGCCTTTTCTCTTCTTTACCTTTGTTTCCTCATGTCACTTTTTTTTTGGTTCTGATACACTGCTATCTGAATGGGTTTACTAAAGTACATTTTTCACTTGTTTTGTACTCAAGTGTTGTGATAATTTTGAGATGCTCCTAGAAAGGACATGTTAAGAGGGCCGCCGCCTCCTCCTCCCCTCTCTTCCCCCACCAGTATTGTTCATCACGGTATTAAAATGACCAATAAGCAGCGACACACCTGGTAGAGAAATAATAGAAAATTTTACATTTAAGGAAAATTAATTTTTTTTTCCAAATCCACCCACTAATAAAGAGAGTGTTTCTAGGTCAGTTTTCTTCATTTTCATTAAGCTTTCTACTTTTACAGTCATAGTAAACACTCAGAAAAGTTAGGTGTGCCTGGGGCTCTTTCAGAGTTGGAAATGAATTCTAAAGTCTTATGGGACTCGGAGAAAAGACTCCCAACCAAAGAGTCTTTATTGTTCAGCGAGCTATAAAATAGACAGTTTTTACACAGAAAGCTTAGTTGAATGCAGGACTACTTCTTGCCACAGAAACATGCGCTCATTTCTCTACAATTGGCTGTTTGAACTTGTTCAGGTTTGGAAAATGAGAACAACTCCTAGGAGACAACTAAAAGACAGGGGAGAAAGAAGCAGCCAGAAAGAATAAATACATGCCATATGTCTGTTGCCTCCCCAAACAATAAGAGATTTTTGTGTCCTCCCCCTCAGGAATTTTAATTTCCTATGTACATATGTAAGCATCTGACTGTATCTAGATACAAGCTTTCATGCCTGAGACAGGTTAAAGAGAAAAGAAAAAAAAAAAAACCCCCCCCAGGGGGGGGGGGGGGGGCATGCATACACCCAAATCCTATCTTTTGTTTTTTAAATTGCATCATGCTGAATTGAACAGTGGGGCTTTTTTCCCCTATTGTTTTTAATCCTAGCTACATTTGACACCCCCACCCTTATCAAGTCATGACTGTAACTGCAGCCGCACAGCACAGAGCTCAGGAAGCACTTCCCACTGCCAGGAATGTCAAACCACATGGTCTATGCTGGTTCCTCCAGTGCTACAACACTCAGTGACCCAGCTGTAGCAGCCTACCACGTTCTGGCTTGTTTCTGGACGTCTTGCCATATGCGCAAGCCATTACCCAACACAGCGGCAAACCTGCCTGTGCACTTTCTCAACGACAATCTTAAAAGTGCTTTCCAGCACCTCTGTCTAGCATTCATCAATAGGCAGAGCCAGCTTTTCCAGTGCAAGCCTTAGCTTCCTGCTCTGAATTAACAGGCTGGGGAGTGCTCTCCCAGCACTGTAATTGCAGTGCTCTATATAATATCATGTGAGGACTATCCATCCCACTCTGTGCTGAAGCTGCAGCCCTAGTCTAATGAGCACCCTCAACACGCTACCAGGGTATACACCATGCAGCCAGATACCATCAGGCTCCTGTGCATCACCTGGGAACTTGAGAACAAGCCAGTTCTGCCACTCAGCCTTTTTGCTGCCTGACATGCCCATTCACTGTAACTGCAAGTTACACCCAAATTTCTGCTCAGTCTTTCTCCATCCTAGTTAACAGGAGTCAGCCCCCATAGGATGATCTGCCACAGGGCAGTTAAAGACCAGAGCTGCAGATGAGGGGGGAGGGGGGGTAGAAAAGAGAAGTCTGTTTCTAGCCTGTTTCAATGAGGAGAAGGCAAGCACTGCTGAGTGCTTGTTTTCTCTCTCAGGCCTGTTGAAAGGAAACCTGAGGCAGGCAAAGAGCACAGGGCCAAGGTCACCCAAGAACGCGGCGAGGGCACCTGCAGAACCAGCTGCGCACACCTGTGGCAGCCCAGTGCCCCCGGCACACAGCCAGTTCTACAGTGTGTGAATCTGTGACCGTAACTGCTGTGGAGCACAAGCTCATCTCCCGTAACACGCTATGACAAAACATCACACCTCACCTCTCTGCTCCTCTATGAGCAGCGTATGATGTCGCTATTCAGAGCCATCCTTAAATAAGGAAGGGTGGCACCTCCATCAAAGAGGTCAGTTTACTGCAAAACAGAAGCAACACTTCACCCAAAACTCTGGTTAGAGCAGCGACTGGTGTATTCAGCACACCAACCCACATCCAGCTTCTGTCCACACAGGAGCAGCAAAAGGAAAGAGAAGCTTCTGCACACAAGCGCTTTATGTATTTCCTGTTTGCTTTATACCATTCAGGCTCTAGCCCAGGAAGCAACATACAGCTATAGGACTAAGCAGGGTTGGGTCTCCAGGTAAACAACCCACCTTTCTGGACACTGCTTTTGCTGCCCGTTTCCATCTACTGATGAAATACACCTACATGAGAAGATGAGTAACCAGTCACTCATTAAAACACACTTCAGTTTCATCCAAGTTGCAATAGTTAGGGTGCCCTTGTCATCAGCGCTTGGGGAACCGCCAACAGGGAGATCCCATGCGAGTCTTCCACATGCACGTCTCAAAGCCTGAAGAAATTCCATCTAGATTACTGGTTTGGCCTTGGGTGCCTAGTCAAGATGGATGGTGCAGTGCCTGGGCACGTGCCGACATTCCTATGAGCTAGAAAGACGCAGTACACGTCAGCATCCTCAACTGCTTCT